TTTTTGGTTGCAGCCGTCATTGTTGTTTTGGCGGGTCCGGGCTGGGGATTCGAACCCACCACCTTAGGTGTACGTGACTGGTGCCTTAGCCGGTTGAGCTATAGGCGCCGAGCCAATTTTTTCCACTTTTAATAGAGATGGGGTTGTCCTCTTGCTCAGGCTTGTCTCAAGTGATCATCCTGCCTCACCTGCCCAGAGTGCTAGGATTACAGCAATGAATCACTGCACCTGGCTGAAATTTTATTTTCTACATACATGGTCATGTCATCTGGTCATCTGTCAATAAGGAATGTAATATTTTCTTCCATTCCTATTAGGATGCCTTTCTTTTTTTTTTTTGTTTTATTGCTCTGGCTAGAAATTCAGAACAATGTTTAAGAGAAGTGGTGAGTGTGGACATCATTGTCTTATTCCTGATCTTGGAGGGAAAGCATTAAGTCTTTCATCATTAAATATAGTATTAATTGTAGGGCTGGGCACAGTGGCTCACACCTGTAATCCTATCACTCTGGGAGGCTGAATTGCCTGAGCTCAGGAGTTCGAGACGAGATCAGCCTCTAACAATAGATGGGCACTGTGGCAGGTGCCTGTAGTCCTAGCTACCCAGGAGGCCGAGACAAGACAATCACTTGAGCCCAAGAGTTTGAGGCTGCTGTGAGCTATGACACCACAGCCCCTCTACAAAAGGTGACAAAGTTGAGACTCTGTCTCAAAAAAAAAAAAAAAAAAGGCTTGGTGCCTGTATATATAGCATAGTGGTTGCGGCACCAGCCACATGCACTGAGGCTGGCAGGTTCAAACCCAGCCTGGGCCAGCTGAACAACAATGATAACTATAACAAAAAATAGCCAGGTGTTGGGGAGGATACCTGTGGTCCCATCTGGGAGGCTGAGGCAAGAAAATCGCTTGAGTCCAGGAGTTTGAGGTTGCTGTGAGCTGTGATGCTATAGTACTCTACGGAGGGCATCATAGTGAGACTCTGTCTCAAAGAAAAAAAAAATACATACATATATATAATATTAACTGTAGATTTTTTGCAGATGTCCTTTATCAGGTTTTTCGAAGTTCCCTTCAATTTTTAGTTTGGTGAGTGCTACTGTCAGTATTGGATATTGGATTGTCAAATGCTTTTTTTTTCAGTTTTTGGCTGGGGCTGGGTTTGAACCTGCCACGTTCGGCATATGGGGCCAGCGCCGTACTCCTTTGAGCCACAGGCGCTGCCCTGTCAAAGGCTTTTTGTGTATCTGTTGGGGTATGGTGAATTACATTGGTTGATTTTGCAAAGTTAATTCAACCTTGCATTTCTGGGATAAATCTCACTTGGTCACGATGTATTACTACCTTATTAAAAACCTGAAAACATTACAACTGCTTTCTATAAAACTTGAAAATAGCTGAATTAAGGTTGTGAACACCTAATAACATTTGTGATAAATAAGGTATATGTTTTGGAAAATATATGAAAGTAAGTTTTTACTTGCTGAATTCTGAAGGGTCAGAAAGCATGCTGAGGATTTTAAAGTCCTAGTGGGGGGAAGAAACCCAGAACTGTGCATTCTCTGGTTTATTCTTTGAATTTATAAGTTGCTTTAACAAAAAGGTTCATCACCCACTGGAAATGTACACATTAGTATAAACCCAATAGCTTTTCTTGGCTGTAACAGGGTATTATTTATAGTTTTGGTTGTCCAGCATTTAACGTAATGATTTACTAGATCACAACAGTTGTCCATTAACAACGGGAAAGAGGAGGGGAAGGGAAAGAAGATACAGAAAAAAATACCACTTTTTACCTATCTTCACTACAGATTTATCTAATGACCTTTGTGCAAGCATGATTCTCAAACATGAAAATGTCTATAATGATGTCAAAGTTCCTCCATGACCCACATAACCCCTATGACATTAATATACTCACATGACTCCAAAGAGAATGAATATTGTGAAGAGTACAATAAGTGATGCCTGATCTGAGCCTTCTGAACCTTGTCACTTTACATAGGCTCCATTTACCTGGTGATTTTTTTTTTTTTTTTTTTTTTT